TTTTTTTTTTTTTTTTTGGGGGGGGGGGGTGGATCAGCACAGGGCTGCTGCTCAGCTCCCTGAGGCCAAACACAGTTTCAGGGTGCCCGGAGTCACCCCAGGGGTGCGATGCGGGTGCCGCAGCCCCGTCTGCTGGCAGCAGCTTCATCCTGAATCATTCCTCCTTCACTTTTTCTTTATTTTTCCCCACCGTATTCTTCACAGGAAGAAGACATCCATCCTGCTGCAAGCCTAGATGCCCGAGGGGACATCCTTGCCTGGGTGCTCCCTGCTTGGCCCTAACGAGGCCCATCAGTGCTAATGAAGAAATGACCTCCAGGTGCTGTGAGGCTGGGATGGTCTGGGCGGGGCAGGACCCGGCCAAAGCTTTTTAGCCTCTGCCGGTTTCTCCCGGAGCTCCCTGTCGCTAGCAAGAAGCTGCCAGGCAGTTACCCTGCTTTTCCAAGGCTTGCACAGGGACGGTGCTGCCAGGCCCTGACCTTGTGTGCTTTTTTTTTTTTTTTTTTTTTTTTTTTTTTTTGACAGAAGCCCGAAGGGGGAAAAGATAAAAAAAAAAAAAAAATCCCTTTTTTTTTTTTTTTTTCTTTTTTTACTCCAGCTAGTGCACGTGGCTGCTTATGTGCTCACATCCTGCCTGCTTTGGAGGTAATGCAGGGCCCCTGGTGGGCTCCCTTTGCTTTTATTGAAGTCTCCACGGTGCTTCTGCTCTGCTCCCACTTTCGTCCTTGGGAGGGTTAGTGGGTGTTTTCAGGCTACTTCCTACTCTGAGCGACGAAGGTGACTGGGAAGGGGCAGCGCTGCTTGGTCCAGCTCTCAGTCTGCTGGGAATGCGGTTGTCTTTCCGCAGGTTTGGGGCCAGCGGGAGGATGCCGGTGGCGTTAAAGCGCAGATGGACCCGGAGAGCGAGGCGAGCGCGGAGCGCCCTCGGGATGGAGTCGTAAGCCGGGCGTCGGAAGACAGACTCTGCTCTTGCGGTCGGGGGTGCGCAGGTGGGCTGTGCGGCGTTGCGCTTCCTTCGCAGCCCCGATAGCGCGCTCCTCGTGGAGGCACGGGGTTGACGAATCGGGAAGCACGGCGAGCACAGCGTGCGTAGCGCGACTGCCCTTACGGTGGGAGTTCAGGGCCCGGGTGCCAGACTGCTGCGTCTTCTCCGGTGGCCCTGCATCCCTGAGCCGTCTCTGTGATTTGCAGGTTGCGGTGCAGTTGACGACGTTGAGGAAGGCCACCAGCCCTGCCCTCGCGGAACGCGTTGAAGAGCCTCGAGGCACGTTAGCGAGCAGGGAGCGACCGGCGGCCGCCCTGAAGGAGAGGTAGCTGCGAGACTATTGTGACCTTTCCTGGGTCCCCGTCGAGCCCTGCGAACTTGTTTTTGTTTTGTTACAGTCGTGGCTGAAACCGCCGTTCCCGCGCTCGGTGCGCGTCCTGACTCGCAAGCAACTGGTGAGTCAGTCGTTTGTTTTGTAGCGGGTTTGCTTGGCGCTCCTTAAACGCACGAAGGGGCTGTTGGAGGCTGATACCGGCGAGTAATACATTCCCCACAGGAAGGCGAGCTACCTTTTGCTCGGCTAGCTAGGCAGCTTGCTCTTCGTGGGACGGGTTTGTTAGTACAGTTATTTCTAGACTGAGATGTCACGGACTCGTCTCGGTTAGGTTTTTTGGGGTGGAGAATATCTTAGAGCAGCTCGCTGGAGTTGCGGCGTCTCTTACCGATTGGTGTTTGTTTTCTTTCAGCCCAAGTACGGTAACGGGCGTCCCGCTCCATCAGCGTCGCAGCGCCTCCGGTTGGACCAGGCTGTCAAGTAAGCGTTACGCTTTTGGTCTATTTTTTCAGTGTTTTTCTTAAGTGAAGCTATGTTAAATGAAAGCTGTTTGTTTTGACGCGGTGGAGGAAGGAGCGCCTTGTTTTAGTAAGGCGTTGTAAGTTAGCAGCATAGCGAAAGATGGATTGTATTGGTGCATCAGCATTGCGGTAGTCATCTCGTTCACTGTAGGTGGAGAGATTGTATCGGTATCTTGGTTTTGGCTTGTGGCGGCTTTTTTTTTTTTTTTTTTTGTCTGTCTCGTTTGCTGGAGAGATTGTATTTTGCAGTCATCTTAGTTTTGGCTTTTTTTCTGTCTTTGAGCTTGCGGTCATCTTGTTTTTTTGGGGGGGGCTGTGCTTTGTGGTAGTTGTGTCTTGGCATCTTGGTTTTTTTTTTTTTGCTGTCTTGCTGGAGAGATTGTATTTTGTGGGTTTTTTTTTTTGGCTGTCTTGTTTTCTGTTGAGGTTGTATTTTGTAGTTATCTTGGTTTCTGGTTCTGTTTTTTTTTGTCTTGTGATCATCTTAGTTTTGGTAGTTGTCTTGTTTTCTGTTGAGGTTGTATTTTGTAGTTATCTTGGTTTCTGG